AACCAAAAATATTTTATTCTTATTTAAAATCTATATATAAATTAAATTATAATAAATTTATAGATTAAGTGGCAAGAAAATATTTTTTAATTGTTTAAATATTTAATAAAAAATATTATTAATATTATTATAAGAGTATTCCGCCATCGCTCAAAATTTGTTTTTTATTTCTAGCAGACAGCTTCCTTTGTCTATCCCCCTGATTTCGACTTTTATTTGGCAACACTTAAAGCATCTTAAAGATTTATGTACTGCGAGTACCTTAAGGGTCAACCGGACCTAAACAAAAAATAATTTATTCTTATTTCAAAGTTAAAAAAAAAATAGATAATAAAATATATATAGAAAAAATCGAAAAAAAATAATTTTGTATCTGTTTAAATATTTAATAACAGATATTATTTATTTTAAAGAGTATTTCGCCATCGCTCAACAATTGTTTTTAATTTTTAGCAGACAGCTTCCTTTGTCTATTCCCCTGATTTCGACCTTTATTTGGCAACACTTAAAGCATCTTAAAGATTTATGTACTGCGAGTACCTTAAGGGTCAACCGGACCTAACGCACTTCCGTTAATTAGAAAATAAGTACCCGGCTACGTGGCACTTCATTTAATTACAAAAATACCCGAAATTGAAAACCTACTAATATGATCTAATCATTTAATGAGCAATATAATTTGTAAATACTTTGTGCTGCAAGCCGGAACTAAAAAATGAGTTAATGATATAGCCTTGGCTCAGCTAAAATGATTAATCACTCAAAGTTCAAATATTTGATCGATGCTCGATGCTACCCTTAGGTGACTTTTAGCTCAATAAATTCTGTTCGTCTTTCACAAAAGTGGTTCTGACCGGTATTTTTTGCCGGCATGAGTAAACGCTTTGGATACTTGTTTAATACTTTTTGACACACAATCACTTTAATTAACATGCCTCTTGGATTCTGAACTGCAAAAGTCACGTGGATTGACCGCTTACTCATTGTCTATATGGGCTAAGAGGTGATATTTGATTGCAGCTGTCACTGGAATCCCACCAGGGAATTCCCTGAAAATTACCACCTAGAAACGTAATTTTGTGATTTCCTTTTGCGGTGACCTAATGAATATGTATTTATACTTTCTTTAAATTTTTATTAAAGCCTAGGTAAGGTTTCTGTTCCCCTTGAATGACTACAGTAGCTGGATATACCTACTTAATTTACATACTAAATCTTGAGAATCTAGAACAATGGAAAAATTTGATGATCGATCCAAAACAAAGAATCCCCCTGAACTTTATAGTTAGGGTTTTTTTTAATTTAATACCATACATTTTTCCCTGAGGGCAAACTTTTTTTGATGTGTATTTTTAAGCCCGCTTGATACAATTTCGAATTAAAAATAATTCTCTTAAGTGGAATTCAAAGTGAGCACTTAATAAATTTCCACTGTTTCTACCAATAAACAATCGAGCACAATATTATTCAACCATGCATTTTATTTTTAAAAGCATTCTGAAGTGCCCTTTTCACCTTTCATTGATGGAACTTAATCAGATTACATTTCATTGTTGATTCGTTTGTTGGCCAATTTCTTTCAGCCAGCACTAAATTTCTCTGACAACCAATCAGCTGTTATGCAAAGTTGGCTTTTATAATATTTTTTTCTCGGAATTTTGTGTATTTTTTTTTTGTATGTAGGTACTACCAAAACACACGTTCGTAAAAAGTTGCATAATGCCCAAAGTGTTTTCCGGTTCACGTTTTTACATATAATTATCAAGCTTGTTTATTGTAATTTGATTTATTTAAGACCTTTTTTATACGAGCATCTTCCCCGCCTGTCCACTTATTTTGACAACAATTAGCCGATGCTGTGGCTAATGCTTGACCGCATTTTTGATCTTTTTGATGGCTCGGCCATATAAACAGCATGTTGAGGTAGGCGGGTGAAGAGTGAAATGCGATAAAAAAAACATGGCAAAAGCGGAGATGGAGTGGAAGGTTTTTAAGCGGCTTATCGCAGGTCCGGCGTTACGATGGCCAATTGGGGTTCCCGTTTTCTCCCTGGGAAATCCCTGCCACATCACGCATCCCGCACTTTGAGCCAGGTTCTTGCCAATACACCCATTCGATAGCCATGGTCAGCCGGTTTTCTCACCGAACCAGTCTTCGCCGAGTTATTTTTACAAGCCGCTACCAAAACAAAAAATCCAAAATCAAAACAAACTTTGGGTCATGCTTGAATTGAGTTACGTGCCGATGTGAAAAAAGCAACAAAGTGAAGAGAACAAAAACCCAAACATTTTCGTATTTGCTTAGGATTATTCAAAAAATTCGACAGTAATTTATGATTTGTGAATCATGTATTTCAAAGATTAATCTTGAGGGCCTTTTCTTGTTGCTGATTAGAATCTCTGGGGGTAAATGGATGGAGCAATTATTTTTCGTGTCGCTGTGCTTGGCCAGTCAAGAAACAATTTATGGGATTTTTCTCAATGTCAAGGCCTTTTGTAAATGGTCAAGAGGTGGGTCGAAGTGGAACTGCCGAAGCGTCGAATGGAAGATTCCCATCATGGGTATTAATTTATTCACGTTTGTGGCTAAAAATAATTTTCATATTTCTTTTATGAATATATTTGTTTTGATTTTTAATAATTCAAGGTCCAAAGGCAAATTCGATTACCCCAAATTTTGGAATCGAAATATTTGATATTTTACCAAAAGTATATAAGACATTTACTTATTTTTTACATTTTACGAATTTTTAACTTAACGATTTAAACTTAAATAAATCTCTAAGCAAAGTTTTTATATTTATTATAAGGATCTATGTTTTCTACAAATATTTTAAAGACATTGGAGGGAAACTTAATTATTTCATAAAATGAATATTATTTTAATGGATCAATAATTTCTTCAAATATGTACAAAGCACTTTAGTAAAATGCAATTATTTCATATTCCAAAAGCCAGATTTCGCCACAATTATCATCACAATGGCAGTAGTGTTATAACAAAGTTTCTGTTCATGAAATGTTTATGGAACACAGCAGTTAAGGCATTTATGGCCTACGTGAATTGTGTGATTCGGTGTGCGAAGAAATTCGCGCTCTCCTGGTTTTTTATCCCAGCGAGTTAATTCACTTATCACACGACTCTGGGCATTATGATATCACAAAATACTATTTACTTAGCACCGACGCGACCGAATTTTATTGCCTTTAGATTAAGATGTGGTTTGAAATTCGTTCGGAACCCAATCACTTAAAGGGGAATCGGGTGCAAAAGTCCTTAAAAGTTAGGAATATCTTCATGGACCGTTTACTAACTATTGTAACACTCGTATACTATAGATGCGCACCGTTCGCCGCTTAAACCGCTACTAACTCGCGTCGAATGCAACTTAGGCGCTTTTGAAGATAGCCAACGGAACGGCGCGCCGAAGAAAACGCGCTAAAACTGAGTGTGATTTCAGCCCAGTTCATGAACGACCCTTTTGGCCCGCTCGTTTCGACTGCTTCGGCAGGTGATAACGGCCCGAAACGATCGGCTAAGAGAGAGGTGATCGAAAGAGAGAGAGAGAAAGAGTACTCGTAATTAACCCGCACTTGTTGGCCATGTTAACATCGGTACACGGTTAACAGAGATCTCGTGCGGTTATCTCCGTTGATTGGTCGAATGTTAAGAGCTCCGCTCAGAAGCTGCCGACGTCTTGCTTCCGTCTTCTGATTAGAACTCCCCGTCTTTCTACAGCTGCTGTGTCACTCGGTGCTACTCCCCATCCATAATGATAATGCCGATCTCCCGATCTTTGCATTTATTAAAAGCTGTCCCAGCATATTTGCATTGATATTTTAATTTTAACCAAGGCGCGACTCGGCTGCTCTGCGCTTGTTCGTTTTGATTGGTTTTTTCTTATTTTTCAATAAGAGCCTCAACTATTATTGGAATGTAGTTGCCATGATGAGGAAACTGGATTTTTTTTTCCAGATTGCTACTTGAATTCGACTTGATTGCTACTTGATATTGCCACCGCCGTTAAATAGAATATTAATTAATCGATTGGTGTCAACGATATTACGAACAGTTTATTGAACTAGGTATACATTTAAAGGCAAGTATGTATGGATTACAATTTATATACTTTATAAGCTTTTGAAATGTATAGTTCTTTAGTACTAACATATTATTGTTAACGTCAGAGGGAACCCATAGTAATAAACTTATGAATTAATGGTCGTGACTATTAATTCTTTTTTACTTACTATATACTTACTAATATAGGTATTGAAAGAAAGAGTGATATAAAATTAAAATAATAGATTCTGAGCTTTTAAGTGGGATTTTCTTAATATTTCGTAAAATATAGGTAATGCAAGAAAGAGTGATAAACAATATAAATCAAAGATTCCGAGCTCGCAAATTTCTTTATAACATTTCTTATTTATAACCGGTTGTAGGGTTGTCTTGTTCTAAGTTCAAACATGTGTTCTTAAAAATTGTGTTGTATAACATGATTTAGGGGTTGTTCCAGTAAAAGCAATCACCTAAATGTTAAATGTTAAAACATGTTATAATTCACAAATTTTGATAAGACATTTTGGAACTCAAAATCTTTAAATTATTTTGCTTTAATTTAAAAGGGTGGTACATTAAAAAAATATGATATCAATATAAATCACTAAATAATGTTTATAATATTTTCAAGATAATTTTCTTTTTAGGAGATAATTATATAAAATTTCAATATATCAAAGTTTTTATTGCAAACCAAGTTTCGGTGATAAATTATGCTCAGTGTAGCACCGAACTTTATTCACCACGCATGGCCCACAGATTGAGAGGTGAAAGCTCCGCTCTCCGAGATTCGGCAACTTCATCCGGCAGCATCCTGTTAATGGTCCTCTCCACGCGAAGGCTCCCCGAACTCGTGGGACCCGAGGGCCCGAAAGCAAGGAGTCCACGCGGCGTACTACGGATAGTAGTACGGCATGTCCTTTTGGCAGGCTGCGCGCTGCGTTCAATTTTCCGTATTGGTTTCGGTTTCAGTTCGCTTGTGGACGTGCGTGCGGCAAGAACCTGCTGGAAAAGCCTCGGATCGGACCTGGTTAATGGTTAATGGCCAATGGTCACTGGTTAGTGTGGCACCAATCGAACGGCTATCGCCCGGATGGGCAAACGGATAGACGGAAGGATCTGTGGAATGCTGAGAATGTGCCAATATGTTAGTGCCGTGTCTGAGTTAGAGTGGGAGTGTGAGTGAGTGGGTGTGAGACAGGGTCCTTGGAAGGACTAACAGGTTCCCCGTCTTTTCAAGTGTTAAAGTGCGGCCAAAAGTATTTCCGAAAGAATACGATAAAAAGTCACAAATCTGCTGTCGCCTCCGATTTAAGTCGAAAGTTTGCCTTAAGGATTAAAAAAACGGACACAGACTTGTTATAGGTAAGTTTTCAAGTTTGTTTTGGGTTTTTACAGGGCTTCAAATCTTTTTTTGTGTACTGTCGCCTTTGTTTTCCTGCCCGACCTTTAATGTCATCCCTTGGAATTCTTTTAGTGACTGCTGTTTGTGTTTTTCCCACTACCCTGGGAGCCATAAAATAAATCAGCCAAAATGTAGGTGGCCCTTTGTGCCGACTTCAATTTATTTTGGTCTCCGATGAGACCAACTTTCCATGCGGAGATAATCTATAGTAATGGCATCTGTGGTGCGCTAGTTATGGCAGGTTGAAATTGGCACAACATTTATGGAACTACAACATGTTTGCTGGTAGGAATTAAGAGATTAAATAAATTTATTAGGGTATTGATACAAAAATGGAAAGTGATTTACATATTTGAAATAAAAAAGCATAGGGATGCGGTAATATTTTTGAAGATACATACAGCAAACAAGTTTAATGATTTTATTTTTACACATCGTTTGAAAAGAGCCTATTTTATATGGCTACCTTAATTTTAAATATTTTTTTTTTTTGGCTTTAGGTCTCAGTTGGGAATTCGCCCTTTTTCTGTTCCGTTTTATTTTCACTTTTTATTGTAGTTTTTCGGTGTTGGCCAGCGGCAAAAAGGTTTAATTTATGGTCTTTTCAGATTGGCCCAATGCCCACGATACATTTGCGAGACACTTTTGCAGAGCCGAAAACTTTTTTGTTTACTGTCAACTTTGGTGACATTTTATGTGGACCATGCCGGCAGACACCAAGCCCAATAAACATAAACACAAAATAGTAGTCGCAAGTGTCGGCGAAGAAAGCTGTAAAAAGCCGCCAAGAATTGCCAGTTAACTTGCCTCACATTCATCAAGGTTTTCGTCTTTATGCGAGATGCGTGCGAGCAATGAAAATCCTTTGTCCTTTGTAATTGAGTTATGAGGCGCTGCCGAGAACAGAGATGAAAAGCATTCACTACTTAACTACCAGTTTACCCACACTCGCAGATAAACAAACACGCATAGTATTGGTTGCAATTATACACGGTAAAAAACTTGGCAGAAACAAATTTTTTAAAAAAGCTTGATTCATGAATATTATGAAACTGATTTCAGATAGAAAATATGATTAGAGATATGAAATTGCTAAATTCTTATTTAATTAATTCGATTTAAATATTTTTATTTTTGATCACAAACCTTTTTAACATTATAATTTTGAAAAGGGCTAAAGACTTATAATAAAAATCGAGCTTGGCTTGGTACAAAAATAATGATTATTCCAAAAGACTGCCAAATAAATAATCATTTCTGTTCCGGATTTTACTTTCGGGTGTTTTACTAAAATTCAATTTGAATAAATGTTTCTACTTACTCGATTTAACAATAATTTGCTTAGAGAAAGGTATTTAAAATAATATCTTATATCTATATCAGTTGAGATGATATAACAAATTGACTATAAGTTGTATTAAAACTGATTTAAAGTCAAGTCAAGTTTGACAGTATTTCTCAAAAGGACAACTTTGCACTGTCCTGAATATTTTATTTAAAACTTAAATACCAACAAAATATTTAGATAAAATGTTATAAAATAACCGACTTCATGCTGTGTAAAACAGACGTCACTGGCATCCAAACGGGGAGAGTAAATTACTGAAAAAGGATATAAAACAAAGCAGGAGACAGCCACGAGAGAGTGGAGCAGACACGAGAAAAGTAATTAAGGCGACAGAGGGGGGTGGCGAAAAGCGGGGACGAGCCGGATGGGATTTGGCCATAAAACATGTACGCAAACAAAAATTAAGGCATAAACTACAATTGTTCAGATTATTGCACGTCGTGAGCTTAATGCAGCGGACAATGGGGATTTGAGGACTCGTTTCGCCAACGACTGGGAGAACTGGAAATGTGATGTCCTTTAATGGCTTTTCGCCTGCTTTATAATTTCGCAATTGTCATTGTCGTCACTGGCGTGTAATTTTGCTATATCGAACTGCCATTTGCCTTTTCCTTTGCCCTTTCTCTTTTTAGCCTCTGGTGTGCCAGCTGAAGTGTTGGTCTACGGCAAACGGGGCGTATACACAATATGAATAATTTATGTTTAAATTGGAAAATGACTCGCAAACAAATGAAATTCTAATTGCAGGGATAGCTGAAAAGGGGTTGCATTGGTTTTGAGCACATGCAAAGTGCTAACTGAGGTTTTTGACCCAAAAATAGATCTAGAAATCCAATATTTAATCGATGGTATATGAAATATTTTATTCTTTAATTTTTAAATTCCCCAACCTTTGGTGATCCATTTTGATTACCAATTTTATATATTTCACTGCGAATATTATTTTAATGATTATTGACAAACTCCATTAACTTTTCAACTCACGTCGTGCTCGATGTCACTCACTCTATCCATTAAGTTACGCTCTTATTTTATTCACAGCATAAAACAATGGCAATGCAAACATTTGCTTTGATGGAAAAATGCAAAAATCATTCGCTACCATAATGAAAACTGATGATATTATGCTTAACTCAATTTTACTTTTTGCATTTACTAACCAGTTCATAATTCAGTATTTTTATTAAAATATACATAAACTTTTAACTTTGGCTTTGTGTTGTTATATCCACTTTTTAATGTATTACCTAATTGGAAAGTAACTTTGCCTCAAAAAAAGTACGTTTTGCCAATTAATTTATGCCAAAAGGAATTTTTGAAGTATAGTCCAAGCCGCAAAAACTTTCAAGCCCTTTATTGATAAAAAGGGGATAAAGTTGGCTAAATGAAAAAGTTTGGTCCGCCTTGATTTTAGCTAACGGCATAAACTCAAGATATTGGACAACAGGTTTTTGAAAAATGCCACTAAAGGTGAAGTTTTTCCACGGCATCGAAAGTGGTTGAGAAAATGCGCCCAAAAGCGTTTGCAATGAAATTCCGAGAAAATGCCTGGGAAGAGTGGCTAGAAAAATGTTTCCTTTGGCTGCCTGCGGGGACATTCGGCCGTCAACTGGGGGGACTCCCCTTTTCATGTGGGTGGGGAATGGGAATGGGAAGGGGAAGGGTAACTAGGACCTCGACCCCTCGGGCATCGAAAAAGGAGCTGGGGGCCTGTCATCGACAACAGCTGGTGCTTTCATGTCTGTGACCTACTGACTTGTGTAGCCTACTTTCCGGGGCTCAACCCACTCCTTTTTCCACGTTCCTGAGGAAGCTGCGCTTAATGACATCGCCGGCCTTGCTGCATTTTTCCCACTCACCCCTCCCTCGGATTCCCTGGCACTGACGTTGACACAATTAAGAGCATGAAAAATACTTTGAAAATTTAATTAAACAGCCCGCCATTGACGTCACCACATAACCGAGTTCATCTTAAGTATGTGGACTTCTTGTCGCCCCGAATGAAATGCGTTTTCACGCATCCAACTTCGACTCCATTTGTCATGTGCTCGTGATCTCATCGATGTCTTTGACGGTCTGATTGCCATTCCGCATGACTTAATGTCGTCTCGATAAGAATTCCCAGGTTTCGAATGCTATTTGCACGAGTAGTTATAGAAAATATGTCGGAAAATGATAGGGCTGATAGCAATTGACAAGCAGCAATCATTTCGCAGATCATTTCTGGGGGAGTTACGTAAAATTCGTTTCATGCAGGTGACTAAGAAATATGACTAATTAAATATTACTCTTGGCCATAACTTTTCTTGCACAATTAAACAGGAATTGAAATTGGCATAATTGTGTTCTACTAATTGCTCTAACAATCAATTGAACCTTGACATGGAATTACCCCATTTTCAATCAAGCTCTGTGGTTTATTCCGAATTTAAATGTTTGTCTAAGCCATAAAACGTGTGTTTTACATAAAACACACTAGCAAAACAAGGCTTTTTGTGTAAACATTTTAACGAAATCCAATACATGAGTTTCGGCAGAAAGCAAATAATTTAAACTGAAATCTGAACACGTGATGCAAACACACGTGGCTCCATCAGGTGGAGAAATGGGCTGGGAAAGTCCCTGCCAAAATGTAATTTAAGTCTGTAAAACATTTACTTTATGGCAAATAAAATGTACTGCCATGGGTGGATGGGTGTGTTTGCCTTGGGTTTGCAGGCAAACATGTTTGCTTTTAATTAAAGGCCAGCAGGGACATTCGCCGAACCAGAAACAGAGGCGAAAACTAAGCAAAGCAAAGCTTTTGCCAGCCGAGCAAATTGCGATATCCGATGGGAATGTAATGAAATATTTTTCAATATTCCAGTGCCACATACTTGCCATACATAAACAGGGCGGTTGAAGTGGACGCGTATCTGTGCATATTGCAACATTCACATTATTTATGTGCAGGTCCGTGCTCTATTATATATCATAAGTGCTGTGCCGGCAACGGAGAATGAAAAGAAAATAGTCCCTCAGACAGCGCCCTTCCACTTTTGGCTGGCTTAGTTCAAATATTTCTGCATGTCAAACATCAAAAAAGGGAAAATTTTCTAGTTTTACGTTTGCATTCAAACTGGGAATCACTGAGGAGAGGATTTTCCGGGAAAAACGAGCACTAAAATAAGTTATTCGTGTATAGTATTGAGATTTTCAAAAGTTATGCAAAAATGAAAACAGTGCCAAGTGGAGACGGGGCATAACTGCCAATGAGAGTTGACTGATGCGATGGTTTTCCGCAGAAAAATGGCAAAGTAACGCTGGGCAACGGGAGGGAAATCAAAAGGAAAACATAAATCCCACTCTGTGCTGACAGCTGCTGCGGATGTCGATAATAAATCTTAATGCCATGATTTCGTATTCCTAGTTTTTTTTTCAAAGTATTTATCGATGAGTGCCCTGGACGAAAATGTTTTACAACTGAATTTTCATGTGAGAAATTGCTGCAAAAAGTGTTTTTCAATTGAAACATTTGTCATTGTGAGTAGCTTAAAGAGAGCTTTGTATTTTTTGATAAACGATTTCAGTATTTTTTGTTTAAATAAATTATTAGTTATGATTGTTGGTTTTCCAGAATCGTATTTATTGAAAAATATATTTTTCATTTCAATATAAATCTTTTTTATTTGATTTTTTAATTTTGAAATTATTTATAAAATTTTTTTTTTTTGATTTGTTGTAACATTGTTTGGAAACACTTAAAAAGATGAAATGAGTCATTTAACTAATAAAATAGAACAATTTTCATTGGTTAAAAATATTAAATATGAGCACCACATTAAATTTGGTTTTCCTTTTTGCCCAATTTTAATGGAACATTATATACTTTTTCATAAAAACTTTGGTTACACAACAAGAATTAAATTTCTAAGTATGTATATAAGAAAACTTCTTTCATTGCTTTGCTGCTGTAATTATTTATGCATCTGTCAACCGTTTTTCATATGCATAAGAAACGGCTTGCCTGGGGGCAAAAATAAATGGCATAAATTACAATTCAATTTCTTATGGTCTATTATTTAACGCCTGACAGGGGGAGGGGATTCCCCTGGAAGTCGCCACGCCCACGCCCCTCTTCCCGTTTGGGGGCGTGGTCTTGGAGGAGCCATAAAGTGGGAGCTGCTGCCAAATAGTAATCATATTTTCGGGCTAAAAGCAAGCAGCACAACAAAACATACTAAGGATAATCCCATTCGGCACAGGCCAATGATTTCGAATGCGCTGCATGACGTTGCCACCCCCTTTTCGCCGCCCCTGTCTCGGCGTATTCATAATTCGATTTTTCACGATTTTCCCCGTACATCTACTTAGGCGCCCCATTTGCTGAGTTGCTTTTTGCCTCGGCCAATGTTTTTGCGATTACGTTGGGTCCTTTCCTTTGTCCTTTCCAGGATGTTGTGGAGTTGGTCAGACAAACGAATTATGGATTCCTTGCTTTTATCATGGGCCAATGCTCTTTTTGCTCCCACATCGGATTACTGAGGCTGTCTTTTATTGTTCTCAGGCAGTCCTTGAACCGACTTTATGCACACAGAAAAAACCGGCTATTTGGAAAGAAGTCTAATATACAAAGTTGTGTGATTTTCCCTTAACATCCTTTTCTATCTATCAATTAAATACTGTATTTATTGAATACCTTTTTATTGAAAGATAGATTTGATAGTAAAGTGCAAATTTTGCCTTGAGCTCAATTGTCTTCTTTGATTTTCTTGCTTGTCTATTTTTGTTAGCAAACTTTTTGAAAATATTTTTACTTGAGGAACTTTTGTTTGAAACTGATAAATAATGCATTTCAAGGCAGACAGTCACAAACAATAAACTGAAGCTGGATGGTTTGTCATTTGGCAGAATTTTGCCTGCGAGCAAACAAGTCACATAGAGTTTTTCTTCTCATTTACTACGAGCCAAGCAATCAGTTTACATTGTATACACTGAAATGTGGATTTTTGTTAGAAACTAACAAAATGTGTAATACAATATTTATTTAAATTGACCACAAGATATTGAAATTACATTTTTAAGTAAACTTATTCCCTTGCAAGGGTATTCAAATTCTTATTCGGATATAATTCAGTGAAATGGGTCCCCTGTCCTTCGCAGAACTTTACACCCTTCAACTTCCCCTCAGATTTACCCCATTTTTGGCTCTTGGCTCTGGTTGTTTCCGCTCTGGACAATTGGACAATGGCCGGGCTGACCTTGTCCGCAGTGGTTTTCCCGCGACGCCCAAGGAGCCCGCTTCCTGGCCATTGATTTTCGCCATCATTGTCGGCCCCTTGCAATCCTAATTTGCAAGGAAAACGCAACTCGATTTATGGGTCTGTGTGTTGCCATTTGCTTGACTCTTCATTTGCACATTATTCCGCTGCAGCGAAAGGGAAACGTTTTGTTTGACCCAAAACTTTTTCTATTTAGTTTCGCCATAGTTTTGTTTTCAGCCAAACTTTTTCCTTTGGCCTCCCCATTTCGGTATGACTTTGCTGCTCTTTTTTTCGATAGCATTGTTTCGGATTTTCCTTTCTTTTTGCCCCCGGTGGCACTAACCCACACCGGGAATCTGATTCGGATACCAACTCGAAGTCAGCGTTATCTGTGTCCATTTCCATTGCTCCATTTTAGTTGGTCTTTCATTGTTTTTTTTTTATTTTTCGATGGGGCTGCTTTAACCAGTGGGGTTAATGTGGCATATGAGTGACGTGGCGTTTATGCAATTAAAATGGGTATTTCGTGTAGTGCAAACTTTCAATTTATTCAGGCCATTTATTTATACTTGCAAGATAAACATTGAGGGCAAGAACAAAATGAAATTTTCACCGATAAATAAAATTATTTAAGACTTTGGGGTATTGTGGTGATGCGTGAAATTTGTTATTATTTTTAAATAATGTCAAGTTGGCTAGCACTTCTCTCTAATAAAATAAAGGTCGTTTATAGAGCAAATCTTTTGGTAAATATTTTAAAAAATATTGTATTTTTAGAAGAAGAGATAGTAGATTGCCAGAATAATCGTATTCTTAGATGAACTCTGGTGCCTATTAAAACACTCAAAATCATTAACAAATTATTTGGGGCATACCCTAAGCTCAAAAATGTTTTTTAAGCCCCCTCACCCCCAAACATAAATTCTGGATCCGACACTGGACACCATACTTTATTTATAAGCCATGGCAACTTTGTAACATTTTAGTATATCCACAATGCGTTATTCACTTTAAAATATAGTAAAATGCATATTTTTAGTTATTCTTACCTTGTTAATACTTTAAAACATTAACCCTAAAAAACCTTTTTATGTTTTTACTTTTGAAAAATTCGACAAATGGCTTAAGCGGTTTTAAAATTAAACAGAAAGCAACAGCTTCGTTCCCTTTATCGCTGAAATTTTCTGTTGAACTTTCAACAAAAGATTAAATATTAAAGAATCTAAAGATTTTTGGAAAGTCATTTAAAGGTATTATTTAAAATTAAAAGCTTATTATTTAACCAGGCAATCCTTTAGCTTTGTCGATTGTTTATCGATACCCAGGCAAACAACATTTGACATCCCCGAAGGCAGTTAAACAAATCGCTTCCATCACAACACAAAATTGGCAAAAACTTATTATTCAGTTTAACACACATTTGAGAACGAGGCTCCAAGGGAAACGAGCAAAGGACTTGATAGGAGCCATCCTCGAACATGCTGGGCCTCACTGAGCAAGTGATTGATTTCGGGGGAGTCGGCGGATCCTTGGTCCTTAGAGGCGGAGACTGGGGACTGAGAAGTGCCACTAACAGGCGGTGCAGTTGTGAAGTGGGGGGTATTTAAGGATGGAAGGGTAGGGACTGGATGATGGAGCAGGAGGAGGCCAAAGCCCAAAGACAAAGCGCGAACTGAAAGCACTCAACGATGAGGACCTGCTCCTGTCAATCCTCGGCGGCGGCAGCCACTTAATGAATGGAAACTCTCTCTAAACGCCGCCGAGATTGATGACGCACTTGATGCTGGCCCAGCTGCTCACTCGGAATCTCATTCCGACTGCAGGCGAAGGACTGTTGAGTGTCCTTTTTATATAGTCAGTCAGACAGTCAGTCAGTCAGTCAGCTGATCGGTGGAGTGGTCGTGTCGCTACCTCTTCTCAGTTTTCCCTTCCCATCTTTTCTGGCCTTACTTAACCAACATTTTGTCATTTTGACAGTGAACACATGGCCCCGCCTCACTCCCCACTATTTCTGGTCCTTTCCCGAAAGCTGCTAAAGTGCGGCCAAGTAAAAAATTTGCATACTCAGCCAAAGCGACCGAAAAAAGGAAAACCTTCTATATATATATATATAGGAAATGCCAATGCAAGTCTCCTCCATATCTGGCCACATCATTGGGCCATAAAACTGCCGCAGTGATGAGGCACAGCGATTTTCTCTGCTTCCCTGAACGTTAACTTTCACTTTCACTTTTCTTTTTGTATTGTGTTTTCGCTTCATTCGTAATTTTGAAAATTTCCAGGGGCTTTTTCGTGGCGTATACGTTATTTATTTCGGGCTTTTCAGCTGCCTCTACTCGCAATTTGATTTGACAAAGTGAAACGATGAGTTGCTTCTTTCAATGTTATATGTATTTTATTCAAGGTTTTAAATTTAAAGATTTTGTTATCTTATTTTCTTCAATGATAAATGTGAAGTAAAAATGTTTTGACTTAAACAAGTCCAAATTTCATTTCACGCGGTTTAAAGTAGTCATGAAAACTATAGCATAAACTAGTAAAAAAAAGTGAAACGATGAGTTTCGTCTTTCGATGTAATATGTTTATTTGTTTAGTATTATTCATTAAAGATTTTAAATTTAAAGGGTTTGTTATCGTATTTTCTTTAAGGATAAATGGAAAGTATAAAATGTTGTGATTTCAAAATCAAATGAAAGTGCCTAAAAAAACATTTTTTATTTAAGCATTTAAAATTTGTATATACCTTTACCATTTAAATACTTAAAAACAAAATTTAATTTGGGAGTAGTTGACTCAAGCTTGGACAGTTTTGCATTTAGTTATGATAAACTTACTAACCGACAGGTTGATAAATATATTAAGTCAAAAGATTTGAAAATATCTTTCTAACCAAAACTTTTTAAGATGACAAGAATGTCAACCACTTGGCAACTAAAATTCCAATTAAAGTTTAACTCAGATCTTGCCTTAGCGAAATACTTAAGAAATTCCTTCCGCTAAAAATCTCTAATTAAATTTGCGTTTGTCAAAGGAAAATAGTTGCGATGCTGGCGCACTTTTGCGCAACTGGGATTATGCCTCAAGCATTTGCATACACATATAATGTACTTTATATATAAGCATGAACGTGTGTCTTCAGGGCACATAACGCATTACTGCACAGATATTAACCCAATCTCGGTGTGCATATAACTCTACTAAAGTCCTTGGAATCCATTTTGTTTCCATTTTATTTTCAGTCAAAGGACGAACGAGACGCCGAGGGCCAAAAGTGAAAAAGAAGGTTGGCAGGAGAAGAGATGCAGAGCTAAAACCATAAACCCAAAGCCACTAAATGCGAGTGCAGAGCCAACTCAGCTGCGAGTGCTGAGGAAACAAGGACCAAGAGCAGGAGGAAGTGCGTCCTGCGCCCAAGTCTAATTAGAAAGAAAGATTGCTCATACGCCGCGTGGAACGAGAGTGCCAGAGTGTCCGAATATATATGTGGATAGTATCTACTGGATACATATGTGTGCGGCAGCTTTTGGTCAAATTTAAAGGTTACAACCCGTGAAAGCCAATCAAAGGGGGTGTCGAAGTTTTTGTTCGATTTGCTGGCGGGCCATCAGAGAATTAGTTTGGCATGCGGCTGCTGTTGCCACAACTGTTGCATGCAACATGGATGGCGAAAATCGGATTATACTCAATGTGGGCGGAATAAGGTGAGTTTGATAACAAAACAATTGTTTAAATTTAAAGCAAAATATATATAGGTAATAGAAAAGATTTGAGATTCATTTATATGTGTGTTTTTTTAATTTATATGTGGAAAATTTTGTATAAACAAAATGAAAACAAGCTTAAAAGGAAGCAAAATCTGATCTTGGCTAAAAAATACAAAGACTTGTTTTATTACCTCCCTTATTAGAAATTTATTTCGTTTCATTTTATTGCCATCCCAATGATATTTATTTCAAGTTTTCATGTTTATACGGCGATATATTGGCCCTTGTTTGTATTTATCTTCGGCACTGCCAAATCACGTAGCATATCCTGTTGATTTGATATGTTTGCCATATTTGTGAAGCCATAGAAACACTCACTTGGGCTATCGACACTGTGTTTTTGTTGGACAGGATATTGGCACAGGATAGTTCCCATGTATTTCCGCCATTATTTGGGCATTGTTGTGATTACGCCTGGCAAAACAATGGAAGTGATACGGAGTCAGCTATCCTTGCCAACAATATGAAAAGGAGCAAAAAATAAGAAAAACAAAATAGAACTAGTGAAATTGTTACAACCAGGATGTGTTGACTGTATGTGAGTTTCTGTATGTACTTTCATGTAAATAACTGTGCCCTGGCTTTGAGTTGTAAGCTCCATTATCAGCATCGTCATCAGGCCCATCATCATCAACATCATGGGTCGTATGTGGCTGTGCTTTTTTTTTTGGGGATATATGTTGATATATGTATAATATTCATTGTATGTACAGATGAAAGCCTCCCTCGACTTGGGGCCCTTGTCTGCTTGAGCGCACTTTTCTGGCTGAGAGCATTTATCCAGCTGCAGATTTTCGGGCCTAGTTAATAATTTATGATTCCGTTAATGGGCAATGTGAGAGGGGCGATTAAGAGAAAAGTCCCACGATATTTTTCGGTTGCCCTTCCCGGCATTTGTATTTTTTCAGCTCATTGTGTACAAATTAACAGCGTAACTCCCCCTCAATGTAGGGAATTTTTTCAGATTTTCAATTACATTTAAAATAAATTTTTAAACCCCTTTTTGTCAGTCACTGAACACCAGTCTTCGGGTCCACTTTGACCCTTACAAAGCGGGTTAATTTTATTGCTGCCAACATATTTTGTCCGCTCGGTTAACCGCACTTTGCAAAATTAACAATGCAATTGCAATTGCATCATCATAGTACAAATGCTATTTTACTGCGTTTTTTATCTACCGCAGCAATGACCACAAAAAAGAGAATGAAATATCAACAAAATGTAGAAAACTGTGGTAAAATGCATTCTTGCGTGGGCCGACAACCACCCATTTTCAAATCCACCAAGCCCATAAAGCAAAGCCATTAAATTGACACATTTCTTTAAATAAAAATAAAATATTGTGGCATTCAAAGAATCACTTGAATGTGGCGTCATCAGGCGGTTTTGAGGGTGGAACACTGAAATGCTGCACTTATGTAAACATTTAGTGACTAGCAGGAAAATGCCAATGGAAAATATAAAATGATTTAGAGAAAGAGGTTGAGAAAAAATACCATTTAATAGGAGAATAAATATTCAGAATTGAAGCAAAGCTAATTGTAAATTAAAAGTGGAGTTGTTTGCCAACACAGAGAAAATACTGACGCTCTCATCTGAGTTGACAATGTTCTTAAAAATAGAAAAACATTTTTGAAGTTTAAAATACCATTTAATAGGAGAATAAATATTCAGAATTAAAGCAAAGCTAATTGTAAATTAAAAGTGAAAATGTTTGCCAACACAAAGAAAATACTGACGCTCTCATCTGAGTTGACAATGTTCTTAAAATAGAAAAACATTTTTGAAGTTTAAAATGTTGAAGTTGAATTTCAACAAATAAACTGTCAATTCAGTCAACAAGTTGTTAAATAAACTCATTTTAACTTTTCTATTTTCACCATTTCGTTCTAATATTGAGAACATTGATACCAATAAGTACTTACACGGTTTTAAAGAACCAATGTTCTTAATTTATGAACAGTGTACTTGAATGTATCTCACTGTGAAGCTATTTTATTTTTTTCCAGTAGGAAAAACCGCCCATTAGTTTCCACAAAAATATATATATATAAATCTCTCACCGACATTTGCCATCTAAATGGATGAAAGCTTCGGTTTCAGTTCCGCTTAAAGGTCTGTGGACTGCAACAGAGGGGAAATGGGTGGAGCAGGGGGTGTTGTAATATGTCGCACTACTCGAATGCTTGTTTAAGTCCTGTCTGTGCTGGGATGCTAGTGTGTGTGCTCGCTGGCATATACTAAGGATATCCTTCCAGACTACACACACTTTTGTAGCATACTTATGCGGGCCATCGCTGGCTGACTGGCACCCCGCTGTCAGCCCGCCGACGTTTTTAGCACAAATAATACATGCACACAGTGTGAGCATTAAACAGAATACATTGCAGTGCGAGTATATTCTGCTGTAAGTTGTTTGCTATTTTCCCAAGCTCCCACATTCGAACCAAAAACCAAAAGTGTCGCCTTTAAGGGAACACCAAGAAAATGCGCTTAAAATACTTGCGGCCCAGCGAAGCGGGTAAGCAGGTTAAGTTCTGTTGGGCTATACAAACCCAGTTGAGCTCGAAACATTGTTTAGAAACTTGCCAAAGGGGAATGGCATATGCTCCCTATTATGCACTAGTTATCCACGGTCCACATTCGATGTTATGGGTGTGGAGTTCACATATAAGCGTAGTGGATTTGGAATCCAATTAGTGATTTCATTCAAATGAGGCACCTCCTGTTTGATAACCAATGGATTAGTCAATATTATACATTCAGCATCACATGCTGCTCAATTGGATTCCGAAAGAGCAAATTGCACATGTTTTGATAAATTCAGTTATACTGCAAGAGAAATGCAATTTTAATCAGCATCCGAACTCGCCAAAGGCCTTAGATTATGCCATTGATGGAAAAATAACAAATTAATAATATGTGAAACTACATTTGATTAAAATTATATATTATTATATTATTTAGTTATTTCTACACGAAAGGAACTTTCTCTACATCACATTTATATTTCGCAATTGCAGCAATCTTTAGCTAAATTGATATATTTAATGAGGTGATGCGTAATTAATTTGCAGCAGAGGGGGATTTATTTTGAAATCTGGCTAAAGCGAATTTGCTGAAACGGATAGGTAATTAGTTTTCAATTTTGACTGGGAATTTTCCTCTAAATTTGATTTTCACTGAATGTGTGCTTCTGACTTTGAGGCCATATTGGCAAAGCACATAAATGTTGAAATGCTGATATCTATTAAATGCTTTGCCTTCCTTCTGCTTAAAGTAAAATCTCAATCATGACGGGCATGAAAAGCTCTTTATTCAGCCCAATAATAATAGAAATTATATGTTTTTCGTCAAGTTCCCTTTGGTATTTGGATGATGTGTGATGATTATCATTGTGATTACGGGGCATTTTTTGCCATACAAAAAGAGCCAAGAGAAGAGCAGAGCAAATATTGTATGGCCAATGGCTTGGGAATTGGTCGGCTTGAGGATGGGCGACTCCCAGATCCTGCTGCTCATCAACGCAGACAATTGCGCACTGATTGTATCTTTGATTCACGCACACACGCACACACTCACAGGCACTAACACTCATGCGTCCACACACACACTCTGGCAATAAAGCTGCCACTGTGGTTGTCTTTCAGCACAAATACATTATACTTAGTGCCGCTGGTTGTTTGTTTGTGATGCTGCGTATTTCCGCTGCCATTTTCTCCTCGCCATTGTTGGCATTTTCAACGCTTTTCCCCACTTTTCCCCGCTTTTCTCCGCTTTCCCAGGGTCCACAGTGTCCTCTTCAATCTCACGCCATTGTGTGCGAATTAAACGAAATGGCTAATGAAAAGTTTAACAGTCAATAAATAAAGCGGGCTGCGACATCAACCATCAAAGGTTCTCCGCTCGTCCTCATAATAGAAGATGAATGCTGATTCCCCTTTATTTAATTTGATATCAAAAGCTTTAATTTGCTTATTGTTCTAAGTGGTTTGGCGTTGGTTTCTTTTATCACACTAATGGAAATTGGCGTAAACAAATCAGAAACACTTATATAAAATCTTAAATTTGATCTAAGGAAAATGCACATCTATCTAAAATTATAACATCGAATTCCGTTTTTAATGTGAAATATATGACAAACTGCATTTGGTGCCTTTTTTTTTTAAATATTTATTCATTGATTCATAGTTAAAAATTGTATTAGAATAGCATTAGTTTTTTAGAAAGAATATTAAAGAAGTTACTTTCAAATAATTAACTGAAGTATTTTTTAACTTATTCTTTCGATAAAAATTGTAAATTAAGGTGATACAAATTAAAAAACGATGTAAATGATAATTTAAAGTGACTAAAAACAAAACAAATAAACAAAATCATTTAAGTTTTTAAGATAAGAATATCAAGGTTTATACTTTGAAATGAGTTCCTTAAAAATGTTTTCAATGGATGTTGTCACTTAAGCATTTTTTCACATAATTAACAAGTAAACTTGTTTATCGACTTGCTTGAACTGCTTTATAGTTGGTAAATTTATTATTTTTAATATATATTCATTTTTCCATAGTTAAAAAATCAATTTAAAAAATGTAGTAGAATAGCATTGGTTTTTTAAAAAGTATTGAAGAAGTGAATTTCAAATAAATATTTTGAAACTTACTCTTGTGATAGAAATGGTAGTTTGAAGTGGTAAAAATAAAAAAAAACAATGAGAATGGTAATTTAAAAAGATTGAACCCAAATAAATCATGCTTAAAATTGTAATCAATTTGTTATAAATAAACAAAATCATTAAAGAATTAAAGACGAGGATAGCAATGTTTTTACTTAATAATTAGTTCCATCAAAATGTTTTTAGCGGACTTTATCACATCAAAATTATTTCACATAATTAACAAGTAAACTTGTTTATCGACTTCCTTGAACTGCTTTATAAT